TTCTTTCATCTCTTCGTTAAAGGTTTCTTCGAATTTACTCTCTAAAAAGGATGTGATCCCACGAAGCTGCAGATCAACAACATTTGACTCCAGTCCCTGTGAATCCCACAGCGTAAGCCCCACGCGCTCTCCGTCAATTTCAGTCTCCAGGTAATGTGATGTGAAATTGTTATTAGCTGCTGACATTTGCACGGGCTCCTCGAATTCATCTGGAGCTCGTGTAGGGCGTTTCTTCGGGGGAAGCTGGAGGGAGGTACGCAAGAAATTGAGAAAGGAAGTCTTTCCAGATTTTCGAGCACCGATAACAAGAATGCTGTTAAGAGGAGTGATTTAGTATGTCGATTTTATTGGTTTATGTAACAGTGAGGGGGAGAGCGTTAAATGGAAACTTACTTGTATGGGGTTGGGTCTTTGCGTCTTCTCACCCTCCGTGGGCTATTGATAGTGCTGACTGCGCTGCTCGCATAGCTGTATCGGCCACGATGTGTCATGCTCTCTGTTCTCGCGTACGGGTCGATAACCTCGCTACCTCTTCCGCCAGCTGCGCCGGAATATGGGGAGGCGGGTGCGTTCGGATCAATGTAGCTCCCACCGCTGTTCGAAATAGCAGTCGTGTTCATCTGTCGAGCATTTTCACCGCCAAAGGTTTTCAGCTGGGGAGGAGCGGGCAAATCTGGCAGACGAGGGGCATATTTCGCGACAGCACCAGCTTCGCGCTGTCGTCGCAACAGTTCTTCTTTAGCCATTTCCTTTTGCATCCTTTTACTCATCCTTCCTCCCGAAGCTTTGCGATCCCCGCTGAGAGGTTCGGTCGACTTTGAACGACGAAGGAAACCTAGAGATGTTCGTCTTACGGTTTGAGAGCTGGCGTTAGCCGAACCATTCTCAGTGGCAGTTGGAAGAGCGTCCGGAGGTGAACTGCGCCCAGGGGTTGGAGGCGCCGGACTGGACATGTTGGATTTATTCTGGCCTTGCCAATGTAAAGCGTACCTGGAAAACATTGGGACGTCAGTTTACAGCAGCTAAAAAGAATTGCGGAAAAATTTTTCTCCCCCCAATTTTGACAGGAGCAGCAGAAATGACAAAGAAGAGAGGAGAAAAGCCGGATGAGTGAGTTGTCAGAGTTGATTTTTTAAGCAAAAAAAGGGGCTTTGGTTTGTGGTTGGTTGGCCCTTAGGCCCAATGGTACGTGCAGCTGAGGTGAGCAACATGTCTCCAATGGCGATGATTGTGGTGCATTGTATGAGGCGTTGCAGGTTGAATTTTCTGGGAGAAAAGTTACTCACGGGCGATTTTAACAACTTCTCCCGATAAAAACTCTTGTAATACCAGCTTCTCAGTCACCTTTCGTGATGGTTTCCACTTGCTCCGATGTTGGGTTATGCAAGACCGAGGAGGGGAATTGTAGAATAATGAAAATCACCGCACGAGCGTATGAGACGACCAGCAAACGGAATCTAAATCCAATAGCCAACAACGCTTCAGAAGCGATAGGATCTTCGATGAGAAGTGATGGATGCGATGCGATGCGTGATATTGTAGAAAGCGTGCGAGTTGCTGAGCAAGGGATCAGTCGAAACGTAACGACGCAGGCAAAGGTCCGCGTCAAGATAAAGCAAAAAGGCTCGGCCAAAGAGATCAGCCACTGGGCGAGGGAGTAAGATGACAATGGTACTATGGTATTTGGGGTATAAATCAAAAGGTGGGAGGCGACGACATCCACAAGCCCAGCAAGCGATTGTCAGTAAAAGTAGACCAGCCTTGAAAAAGAAGGGCTCCAGAAATCCGATATGTCGATTGTTGGTTTGTCGACCACCGGATAACAGGCAGACGGCGGAGCAATAGGATACAACAAAAGAGCGGAGCGAAATGAATAATGAAAGGAACAAATGGTGGGAGAGGGATAGCGTCCCTGTCAGGTCGAGTTGGATTTGGGTGAAGCGTGGAGGAGGAAACAGGAGAGCCCCTTAAGCCACAGGAGACCAACAGGGACTAACAACTGCGAGAGCGCCAACCGAGCCTAACCCAGGGTTGGTGAGCCCAGCAAAGGCTAGAAGAAGCGAATAAGAGAAGAGAATTAGAACGCGAAGAAAAGAAAGGTTGGGAATGATGAATGAGAGGATGAAGATGAAGTTGAAGTTGACGATGGAGCAGACGGCGAATGTCATGAAATTACCGCGGCTAACTTACTTTACCCCTTTGTTATTTTGATGAATATGTAATATTGAAGCTTGGCCCGCGAGTGTTTTGTCCGCTGTTGCACCACCTTCTCAAACAAACTATACTCACTGATTATTGTAACACGATCTTCTTTTCTTTTCTCTGTTCTCTTTTCCTCGCTCTCTTCTCCTGTTCTCCTGTTTCCTCTGCCATCGTGATCTTTCTTTATCATTTGCGGAGCCAAGTTCATGAAAGCTGGACCCATCCGGCGCGGATTCAGGGGTAACTACTAAATACGATACGCGTAATATACTTTACACATTTATCCGCGCTTGACGTTACAGCCACAAAATCTCCGTTTTATCTCCTACTTATTTCTCCGCACGTCTGACACGGTACGGTACGCAATGCGCGCGTGCACAGGAAGGCGATGATTCCGGATTTCCACCATACAGGTCTGTTTTCGTTATATACAGACGTGAAGCTGGGACATAATTTCGCCAAGACGCGCAGCGTTTACTGTCTGCCTCGACAGTTCGAGATGTTCTCGAATCAGCACCGTGATAAACTGTGCTGGATATACGGAGTATGGCCCTCCCGGTTAAAGACTTCGACCGTGGAATTTTGAAGCACCCCGGATTTCATCGAAAAAGGATCTAAGCGCCCCATCCGAGGAATATGATAGCTTGTCAAGATGCGCTGTTGGAAGCAAATCAAGTCAAATCTATGGTTTTTATGCATGTCAAGCAAACAAGCTTCCGTGTTTAGTTTGTTTTGAAACGAGTTTTTTTGGAGGACAGGGAGCAGTTTTCGGTCGGATACCGATGCTGGCTGGCATCCGTCTGGACAGCTACATGGTGCATATATTTTCAACCATCTGCCCGACGGTGATAATATTTGCATACTTGTCAAACCGCTTTTTTCCTTGACTAACCCTTCCATCACCAAATATGTGTTGGTTAATCTGGTAGTTTTTAAGATAAGGGAAAAACACCAAAAAAGTGGGACCAAAAATTGGAACCAGGTTCATCAACCGCCTGAACCAGAAGCAACGAGAGTCGAGCAAATGGTTGAAAAACCCCAGCTCCAAGCCGAATGTCTGAATGCTCTTGAGGCATTGGTTTAATCGTACTTGTCAGGCCATATCCCCAATCTCTAGCCTCATGTTGAGCTGGGTGATAGCTGGTTCTAGATGGAGAATGAGGGTTCGTGGCTAAAAAGCTGGGACCAAATTCTTCAAACATGACGTATTTCGGTTCAATAGAGATATTGATGAGAGATAAAAACATTCCCATAACTGGTACGTGGGAAGAGCGCATCCATGGATAGGCGGTGGGTGCCTTCACAGCCTGACATCAAATTTAAGAGTATGAGCACTTACCCAGCTGCTGATCGCAGGGCTTATGAATATCTTCAAGCTCTCTTCAGAATAAAGGCTCCTCTAAGGCATTCAATTTAGAATCTGTTACAATTGAAACTCAATGTACAGGTTACATCCTTATCAACAGCCACAATATCAGCTCATCAGGTAGATTCATTATTTGATCAAATTTTGTCTCTGTAGTTTTTTGATCGAAAGAGTATACATATACAAAAGAAATCCCCTTTCTTGAGGCATATGTCATCTTTATCCGCCGTCAAAATCATGTTCAACCTTTGTAAAGCCACATCCAAATCATCCAGCACCAAGGGCGGTTGTCTTTTTGCAAGCGGTCATTAGCAATATCCGGTGATGCCTCTCTTTTTTTTACGTGCATTTTACTTGCATAAATCTAAACTTTAGGCATCACCCTTAAAAGAGTTCTACACACCTGAAATGTGCCTCCTTCGTTAATCTAGGTATGATGAATGTCTACTTTCCGATGAGGTGAGAGTGGCTCAAAACTCTCTAGAGTCCACTGCGGGAGTGGAGTAGATATCATGAAGGTGCCTGTCAGTAAACTCCACGACATAATGATTATGGACTTCCAGCTATATTATCAATGATATCATGAGAGTATCTTTCCTATTCGCGTGTATTTCTTCTATACGTAACATTATCATCAGTACGTGGTAGGAGTGTTCAGCCATGTGCAAAACTCTTTGCACACTACCAGGAACTCACAACTAAAATCTCAAATACTGAAGCGCAAATAAAACTCTAAATTTTGTGCCAAAGGAACAGAGTATAGGAGTTAGATCAAGGCGCTAAACCCATACCCATATCCTTTGGAGGGTCAAGTCAGGCGGTGGTAGATTTATCATCATATACATATGTATCTGGTGTTCCCAAGCATTCGTTTGGAGAACGGTAAATCCCAACCAAATATTGAGATCTCTTTATAATTGATTCAAGTGTTGGTTGTATTTGAGCCCTTTTGAACTGGTTCACCATTGCCGCCACGCTGAAGGGGTTTCCCGCCGAAAGTTGAAACACGTTTCAGATCTTCAATGTGGTGGAGAACATGCTGAGATTTCTGGGGTGAGCCGATCCACTCACCATTTCTCGTCATGGAAGATGGGAGTGGTAATTGTGGGATGGTTGATCTTCTCATTGTGCGATCGCTAGCTAACTATATATAGGGGTAATCACGTGCGGTGGAGGGCCGCCTGGGCAACTAGTGCCCAACAGTAAAAGGGGTTGCAATGGAGGACGTTAAACTGCTCTTTGATGGTGAGAAAGGGGGGAAACGAAGACAATATACAAAAAAAGTATAATGAAACCATGAAGCTTCATTCTCATTTATCATTAAATGGTATATCCCAGAGAAAGTCTGGCAACAATCAACTGAAGAGGAAAATGCCCCAAAAAATATGAAAGAGAAAAAAACGAAATGCGGAAAAGTGAAGCAAAAAGATAAAGGACAGAATACTATTATCCATCATCCGTCGATGATTTCCCATTTTTGTTCCGCGAAAACAAGCTCACAAGCCAATGGAGTCCGCTCTGCCTTGAAAATGCCAGGGAGTGATATCTGGGTGGGAACAGATAACGATACTCGAATATTCAAGCATGCGCGGGTGCTGTACATTATATACACGACTCTGCCATATGAAGGGGTCCTCCATCAACAGCAGCTTCCCGCGCTCCCTCGTCGGCCATCGAGAAGATGACAGGTGAATGTACAGTACTATACGAGATAAGGGAAAGAAAGGCTTCAGCCACTGAACTTGAAGGGAAAAAGGAGAGAATGAGAGAGCTAAGACGCTTCTATCTATATACAGT